GAAATTAACTGTGATATTTTATAACAACCTATGATAATAATTCATGATCCCTGTAATTTAATTATTACTTATCTGTTAACTGACTTATTTTTTAGTTTAATATTTATTTTAGCACAGTATCAGAAATCAATAACCAGAAAATTCATTTTAATCAAATTTTATTCAAATTTTACTCTTGCAAATATAAATATAATATAATACATGTATATTATATTTAAATTTTCAAATAGATATTTAATAATCTATTTAAAATACATTAATTAATATATATTTAATTAAATTTAACAATAAGAAATTGGCAAACCAAATAATAAATTAATATAATAAATTCTTTTCAATTAACAGCTAATCTAAAAATATCAAAATTAATACAATACTTTCTGGTAGTATAAATAATTAAATTTTATTAGTATGAAATTAATTTTGAAAAAAAAAAGTCACTCGATCCTTCAAATTTTTCAACGACATTCTATATATTTTGTAAATACGTTTTTTAAAACAATCAATCTGTCACGTATTTCGAAGCAAATATCAAAAGCTAAATACCTAAATATTTTTAACGAAAAATAATTTCATTTCTACACAGAGTTAAATTTACTTAAAAATTATTTAACAAAGCGATTAAATTATATCGATAAAATAATTTTTTGAATTTTAAAGGAAACAGTTATTCGTTATATCCATGTGTGTTAAACTTGTAATATCAATTACAAGTTAATTTGGTTCACTCTTTTTATACGTTCTAAAATTATACATATACTTCTGTTCGCGTGAAACGATTAAATATACTTTCGGATATAAATAGATACTTATCATGCTATAAAAAAATTCTGCCCGCTATTTCGAGCCACGTCAATTTGCGAGCCATGTCGATTTTTTCGTAAAGTTTTTGCCGCGCGCAAAATAAAGGTACTTGTCCTGAATTAATGCTGAAAGCGGCTTTCTCCTTGCTACATCGATGAGATATGTGCAACTTACATATACACAATGCCTCGTGTCTTTGACCAACCGTATATGGCTCTCTGGACCGGAATGATGCAGCATGAATACCTAATTTCGAAAGAATAACACGGTCTCCTCGGCGTCTCAAATCTTTAACACTTCGCGAAATGCGTTGTCTGGTAGCCCTGCACCAAGAATACTCAGAGGAATTATAACTTTCACGAAATGCGCATTCCCCACCATTCGTTCTTTCTTTTTCTCTTTTTTTCTTTTTTTTTTTCTTTTTTTATATCCATTCTTAAAATATCCGTGAATATTATTGGACTTCGCGTATCATCGATTTACGTGGAGAAAAAAAAAAAAATGGAAGAATATATCCGGTTCTTGGTGGACATTTGGTCTAAGGATTAGGATTTAACGAGATGAAATAGAAAATAAAAATGAAGATTTAAAATATAAATAATGATTTATTGAAATTATTATTTAGATAATTATTTTAGGTAATTATTATACTTTATACAGATAACTCGACGATGCAATTTAAAATATAGATAAATTTGTTTAATTTAAGAATAAAAAATATTTTAGTTTTGTATTTTCTTGAAGTATTATTTATTTTTTGAAGTTTTTAATAACAATGAATGTTTGAGTATATAATTTAAAATGTGAATAAAATATAATAATAAACATTTTTTAATATGTTTTTTGATCCATTTTTTGATAAATAAATACAAACGCTTAAAATTAACATAAATTAATAAAATGTAGATGAACACTTTAAAATTCAATAAAAGAAGTGTATCTTATACTTTTTTTACTTCTTCCTTCTTCTCTTTTTACCTATATATTTTTAATTTTATTCATTCTAATATTATTTTTAATATTATTTTAATATTATTATAATATTAATTATATCTCTTCTTTACTATTAATATATAATCAAATGTATATAT